TTGATGGGTTGACCGGGACCAGGCCACATTTGGGGATGAGGTTGACCGGTCTGTTGGATGGGAGGAAGACGGGCATGAGGCTGAGGGTGCTGAAGCTTCTGACGCTTCGCCATTTCTTCGTGCTGGCGTTGTTGCTGGCGCTTCTTCTTCGTCTGAAACTCGTGGGAAGATTCGTACTTCGGAAGGCTGTTCAAGGTTGGATTGTGGGGTAATTTTTAGTAGGCATGAGCATCAAGGCGAGGAGAAATTGTTTGTTGAGACAGTGAAGGGTTTAAGGTTCACCTTTTTGGATCACATGGTAAGGGATCAGCCCAGAAATACTCTGCATCAAGTGCATCTTTTGCTGATATTCTCTGCAAATCAGAAGATGTGAGATTGAACTTTATACAGAATAGCACAAGATGAATTATAAGATTCCATACGTAATGTCAGGGGATATAATCATGAAAACTGTCAAGAGACATGGAAATGTTCAGTTAATTGTTGGAAAAACTTGTGCTGGAAAGTTATTCTAGATCTTTGTGAAGTATATTGATATTTATATAAATGTTCAATGATAATAAATGATCATAGAAATTATAAAATCAATCTTACTATGAAAGATAATTTTTAACTTGAAAGGGTGTGTAGAGAGCTATGTGACTGAAAAATTCACACCATGGACTTTTCAGATCTTAGATTCAGAAGTTTTGTGATCAATTTTGATTATTTCCAAGGGGATTCAATCTGAATCTAACAAGATTTAAGAGTGTAGCAATAACAATAACCACCAAATCTTTCATCTCTCATAAAAAATAGAATCATTTTGACTTTCGAAGAGTGAAATACGCCTTTTCATGTATAGGTAAAGTTGCATGCATGTAAAAATTAAAATTTAAATGAAAAATATGGTAATACATAGGAATTGAGTGGTATGTATGTAAATCTTCCAAATTATAAATGCCAAAATACAGAATTATCCACGACTGTTATCAGCCGCTCGTGTAGCCCACTTGGCAAAGAATGCAAAGTTCCCTTCTAATTTAGCTGCTTTTAAGGGGTTGGTATAATTGTGATTTAGAACATATTTAGAAGTATAAACAACTTCTCGTAGTAAAGGAGGAAATTTAAATCTTACGCAATACCTGAGATGGATCGAGCATTAACATCCTCTCCAATAACTCCAAGGCATGACGGTCGAAACTGCAAAAAATCAAATATTTTGTAATATTGGAAAATAGAATGTAAAAGAGTAACATATAGTAGGATGTGAAAACCCTTCACAATTATCAATGCTACAGAAACGACTAAGATAAGCAAATACGTAGAAGGGCCAACTTACTGCTTGAAAAGCTCCCTGACACGTCTCTTCGTTGGCCTTGAAGGCTTGAAGTTGTTATACCAAGGCATCTTAGTAACACCAGGCCAGTTCACCTCATCTGGAGTTCCACAGAGCTCAAAAATCTTCGTCAACTGTTCTGGCTGAAATATTGCGAGAAACAAGCAGTTAGTTTGATTCTCAACTCCACAATAGCCTAAAGTATGGGTGTCAATTTGGGTTTGGGTTAACCCAAACCAAAACTGCTTAGACTCAAACCCGACCATTATGACTCGTTTAACATGAGGCATAAAAGCTATTTGAGTCAAATTTGGGTTGATTCTAAGTCAATGTAGGGTCGATTTCAAGTTGACGGATCGATTTCAAGGCAATTTTGCTTGGTAGGATGATTTCATTTTTGTAGCTCAATTTGAACCCGACTTGAAAAATTAAACAAGTTAAAAATCCTAACCCGAATTCAACCCAAAAACTATCAGGATAACCTGAACCAGGATTTTTCAAGTCTGGTTCGGGTCAATGTAGTTCAAGAAAAAAATGGGTAGTGGAGACAATAATTGGACCAATTGTAAAGTTGGAAATAAAATCATGAACAAAATAGAAAAAACTCAACTAAAAAAAAACCTGCATGATAACTTATTGTAGATTGCAGTCAATTGTTAAAGCTTGAATCTTTAATTCAGAACACCAAAAGAAAAAAAAAAGAACTTCACATGGAACACCAAGAACCATGAGTTAAATTTTATTACAATAATGCAATTTACAATGTTCTGCCCCAATATATCTTGCAGCAAGATGCGAGAAGAACAAATGTCTAGATCACAATCTCAGCCAACCTACTTTGAAATGCAAACTTGTAAAGCAAATTAATAGATTAGCCTTTAAAAAAAAAAAACTTTTAAGAGGGATCTACTTTTGAATAACATTGTATGAAACGACAAGGACTAAACCCAACATTAGAGGAAGAGAAAGAGAATCCAAGTCTTCATTCAAGTGATAATTTTTTTTAAAAAAAAAAAATTACAACACAGGTTCATTACTATTATTTTTTTATTCGGAGTTGCATAAAGCACCTTATCAACAATTAAAGCCATTTGCAAGTTAGGACATGTATGCAACCTAGGACAAAAGTAACAGCCCTATTCCGATTTCCAGAAAACAGTGAACCCCACTTGTAATTAGGTCCTGCATGTAGGTGTATGGCCGTGAAAGGCATAGTTTGCATTAAAAAAATGAAGAGAAAAAAAAAATTATGATCATTTAAATCAACGGTGCAAGAAAATTTGTTCACTCTCAAGCTTGTTCAATCAAGAAAAAAACTTTCAATTAAAATAATATTTCAATAGATCAACACCATTAGATTTATCACAAAGATTGTTTCAATATATGAAAAGAAACAAACACCAAAATTCAGTTGCAGAGAGGGAGAAATTTTTATCTCAAACTTTGAGGGGCAAAGCTTAATTTAAAAGTGAAGTTTTCTTTGAATGCCTAATTACAAAAGATTGCTTTCCAAACCAGGCCTACAGCCGATGCTAGTTAAAAATAATATTGCAGTACATCCTCATTAAAAAATAGAAAGTTTTAGCAGATGGAAGAAACAAGTATCAAATACAATGTCTAATACAATGGCAAAACTAAAATTTGAAGTGAGAGAGGGCAAACAGATTAACCCCAAACATAGACGGAAAATCCTGAAAACCCAAATTTATAAATTTTTACATGATGAATTATCACATTATCAAACATGAGATATAGAAATAAAGGCTCTGACATACATACATGAAAGTAAGAAATGCTTTACAAAAGACATCCTACCTCATTTTTCCCAGGTAAGATGGGCTTTCCATGTAAAAGCTCTGCAAATATACAACCAACAGACCACATGTCTACAGCTGGACCATACTTGGTTGCTCCTAGCAGCAACTCCGGAGGCCTGTATTATAACCATAAAAAAAATAAAAAGTGAACATTAGAGTAGCTAGGTTCATGGAAGAGTAACAGGTAGTGTTGACATAATCGTTTTGGATGTTCAATGAGCGGACAAGGCACCAAAGTAAAAATAAAAGGTAGAAAGCAATGTTATCATTATTATCATTTGGGACAGTAAATGGTTGTAAACATTGTACCTATACCACAAAGTTATTACACGATTAGTTAAGTTGCCATTGTGATCACTAGAAAATGAGCGTGCAAGCCCAAAATCAGCCAGTTTTAGATTTCCCTCATTATCAATCAGTAAATTAGATCCTGCAGCAGATCCAAAAAACACAATTATAACCAAATAATGTCGTGCAATAATGATTTACGCAACAAACCAAAAACATTAACCACCTTTGATGTCACGATGAAGCACCTGGTTAACATGACAATAATGTAGTCCAGTTAACAGCTGCCTCATGTAACACTACCATAATGAGAAACAAGGTTCAGCTAAATATAATGAAGTAATACAATAAAATAAATCAATCACAAAAATGCTACCATACCTTTATTTGTGGTACGGTGAATCTCATGCCAGGACGATCTGCCAGCCCAGTTAGATCATGATCCATATATTCGAAAACCATATAGATGCTTCCTTTGTATTTGTTCCCATCTGGACATGTCAATAAAATTAAACAGCCTTAGTGGAATGTTCTCATCAAAATAACCAATAACCATAAGCTACTTTCCATCAGTCTACAAGATAAATAAATAGCTGATAATTCAAATATTCATAGCTATATTAAACGATGATTTGCCATATAGAACACACCTGGCTTTCCTTGTTCGTCTTTCTCTGGACCTGGTAATGTACAAAAATGTTACATGTAAGAGAAGAGCCAAAACTACAAATCAATTGAAGGTCGAACCTGGAGATGTCACAATCTCTTTCAGTTGGATGACATTCTGATGCTGCAGCTTCTTTAGGATTTTTATTTCTCGTATTGCAGTAATGGGAAACTGTATAAGTAATATATTGTCATGAATTTCTAAACTTCGATAGGGCCATTAGCCTAAAATATATTTGTTCAAGTCTGCAGCAAGGAAGATTAGAACCATACCCCTTCTCTTTCATTGTCCATCCTAATTTTCTTCAGTGCTACAATTTCTCCAGTTCTGATTTCTTTAGCCATGTATACTTGCCTGCAATTTCAGAAGCATGAGCCTCGGCATATTATGTATGAAGCACAAAATTAGAGAATAAACATTGCATACAAAGCATAGATTTAATAACATAAGCAAACTAACGTTAGTTTTGTAAATTAAGGAAGTCTAAACGATCAATAATATTTCAATTCAAATCTCTTTGAAATTCTAAATTGAAAAGCCTTCATAAACAAATTTGCAAAGCATAAACATGCTTGAGGTCCGGCTTCAAAAAGAGAAAAAAACCAATTCTTTAAAAGCGAAATAATTCGAAGCCAGCGAGCTACTGCATACAGCAAATATAGAAAAAAAACTGGTCTTGTAGAACATAAGCGTGCATGGCCCCCAAAAAAATTGATAAGTTCCAGTTGAGTATAACTTTGATAATGATTCATGAGTTACTTTTCCAAAAAAAAAAAAAAACACA